AGTTCTGGTTTCAACAAGACGGCGCTCCACCGCACACAAGTCGCATAACAATCGACTTTCTGAAGAATTTGTTTCCGGGTCGTTTGATGTCGAAAAGTGGTGATTTGGACTGGCCACCGCGTTCGCTCGATTTGACGTCGCCTGACTTCTTCTTGTGGGGATATTTGAAGTCAAAGGTTTACGTTAACAACCCGTAACGTAACCGTAGAAGAGCTCAAGGACAACATTCGTGAAGAAATAGCCGCTTTTCCGGCCGAAATGGCAAAAACGATGGAAAATGCAGCAAAAAGGGCACAATACGTCATCAACGCCAGAGGCGGCCATTTGAGAGATATCATATTCAAAAATTGATGTAAACAAATCTACTTGGAACAAATTAAATGATTAACATTGCCAACCGACAAATTTTTATTTTTTCTTTGATTTTTCAAAAAAATTATGGGTCCGTCGAATATGGGCAACCCTGTAGTTATTATTTACATAAATTTATGTATAGACGTTTATTTGTGTTTGGGTTGTATCAGTCGACTATTTTGCATAGCCCCATAGCCCCGCACATCCGTTTTTTAACTTCAAAGCTGGTATTTGGAGAGCGCAATAGGTCTCACCTTATATGACAGACAATTGTTTATTCAGGTCAGTATTGTACTCGAATAGCTGCACCCATCCATATTAGATATTTGTGTGATTTCTGGCTCATTTTCAGGAACATTTTTTTAAGAATTCGTATTTAGGGGTTTGCAACAGCGCACACCCTTACTGACAGGTTCAGGTTTTCGTATAGCCTCTATTTAGCGGATCCTTCCCAAACTTGAAGCTCCCACTTTCTTTGATAGGTATCCGTTTTCGTATAACCCCTATATAGCCATATTTCCCATATTGGTATTTTAAACTCACAATAAATAATTGAATCTCGAAAATTTTATTCCATAGTGGAGGGCCTTAAAAAATCGGCCAGTCTAGACTTAATGTGTTTTTTTTTTTCTTAATTTTTAATTTCTGGAATAAAGGTTTCTTTTCATAAAAAAATATCTGCAAGAAATGTTTTTAGGCTCCTTGTAAAATTTATGCTACATATTTCAGTATTTTTAGGCTATTTTTAAATTTTCTTAAACTAAGACTAATTTTAATGATGATCATGTAGCTTGTATAAGATTGATATTTCCGAAAATCGGATTTCCTCTAAGCTACTCTTAATTTACAAGGTCTTTCCCTTCCTTCTCTACAAAAATTTATTTACACTGATAGTTTGCAACACCACCCTTGTGTGTGTGTGAGTTCCACTTCTTAATCCACTACCAAACCTAAGTCGGCGTTTAAGTGATCTTTTTTTTTATAAATTTTCGCTTTTTGAGAAGATGTTAATGTTAACAAGCTGTAATTTCAAATTATCTCTTGGATTGGATTTTCCTCTAGCACTCAACTGAAAATATAATTCAATGTCTGGTGTTCGTCAAACAACCAATGATACATGGCACCGATAAAGCATGGAGTGATCGCGTTGGTCTTGAGTTGATATGTCCGTTGGTTGGCTTTGGACGGTTGCTTCATTTGAGCGCAGGCTTTTTTAATGTAATTTTTTTGGGCGTTTAATAAATAAACGCCTACAGTTCTGATAGTTACTGCGGTTTTGGTTTGATATCTGTCTGTCCGCCTAGTATTTTTTTTTAATTTTTGACATTTTAGATGGATTTCTTGTGATTATAACAAATTTGCTATTTGTTGGCTGGTTGGCTGGTTGGTTCGTTGGTCGGAATGTTGTTTGTATTCTCCGGCTTATTAGTGTCTTTTCACTGTTCCACCCGCCCGCCATAATTTTTGTGATAGACAACAACTTGTTGGTCGGTTACAAGATCCGCACATTGAATTTCTGATGAATTAATGCCGGTGATTTATGAATTGTTAATTGGCTGCAGGCTTAATTTTGGGGCGGATTACAAAAATTGGCTTTCAAGTCAAAATAAAAAAAAAAATAAATAAATAATAAATAAAAATAAAAAAGAAAATAAAAAAAAAATCTCCAAAGAAGTTGAAATAGGGGTCATATTTGTCTAAAGAGCTTATTAAATGTGTCAATTATGGCCATGACCACCAATTGTGAATTGCTTAAGAACTTGTCAGAATAGCTACCCTCGAAAAATAGCAGGTACTTTTTTAATTGAAGAAGAAATGTCAAAAATTTAAGATTTCGCTTTGATCAAAGAATTTTAAAATCGAAATAATATTTCTTAAATGTCTAAAAATGTAGAAAAAAATTATAAGAAAATAATAAAAATTTAATTGCATCGGCCGGGAATCGAACCCGGGCCGCCCGCGTGGCAGGCGAGCATTCTACCACTGAACCACCGATGCTTGTTGAAATCCCCACTCCACTGTTGGTCGTGCCGAATATTGATGCTTGCTTTCTCGTCGCTTCTCTACTGTGTGGATGTATATTTTTATTGCTTTTGTTTTCGAAGATTATCACCCAACTAAGCAGCGACTAGCTATCCGGTCGGTCTTCAGCTTAGAGTGTTGATAAAATAAATAAAAGAGTAGTTTGTGAAAGTTGTATTTTAAGTTGGTTCGTATTTTCTATTGTGGTTGGTTTTACCCCATTCCACACAGCATCGGTGGTTCAGTGGTAGAATGCTCGCCTGCCACGCGGGCGGCCCGGGTTCGATTCCCGGCCGATGCAATTGACTTTTTTTCATTTTTTAAATTTTTTTTACACATTAATAAATATTATTATACCCTCCACCATAGTATGGCGGTATATTAAGTTTGTTATTCCAAAGTGTCGATCACCCCTAGCAAGCTCTACGCCGGGAATGGGCCAAAATACCGCAGAGCAACATTCGGGCAGCGTGTGACGCTTTCATTGGCCGTTTGAAGCCCATAATTCGTGCCAAGGGTGACTAATTCGAACAAATCTAAACTTATTTGAAAATTTGATGCTATTTCCGACATTTTTTGCTTTCATCAATTAAATTTTAAAAAATGTAGAAATTATGGCGTTAAACTTTGTTGCAGTTTTTTTATCTCAACCCGTATACGACGACGTGGACCCGCATAGGCATTTTTTGTCATAAGCCAATACAATATTCAAATGCGAAACTTGAAATGGAAATTCGGTGAATAATATAGCTAAAATCGTCAAAATACCGAATATAGGGAGGTACTATTATATGGGGGCTATACGAAGTCGTGGACCTGCATAGACAATTTTCTGTCATAGGTTGTAGTATCTATTACGAACTTCAAATACCATAGTTGAAACAATTCTGATGAATAATGTCGCTAAAATCATTTAAATACCGAATATCGGGATGTACCTTTATAAAGGGGCTATACGAAGGCGTAGACCTGCACAGACAATTTTCTGGCTTAGGCTGTAGTATCCGTTACGAACTTCAAATACCAAATTTGATACAATTTCGGTGAATAATGTCGTTAAAATCATGAAAATACCGAATATCGGGAGGTTCCGTTATATGTTGGCTATACGAAGACGTGGACCTGCACAGAGAATTTTCTGTCTTAGGCTGTAGCATTCATCACGAACTTCTAATACCAAATTTGAAACAATTCCGGTGAATAATTTTGCTAAAATCCTAAAAAAACCGAATATCGGAGGGAACCTTATATGAGGGCTATATGAAGACGTGAACCTGCACAGACAATTTTCTGTCGTAGGCTGTAGTATCCATTACGAACTTCAAATACCAAATTTGAAACAATTCCGATGAATAATGTCGTTAAAATCATGAAAATACCGAATATCGGGAGGTACCGTTATATGGAGGCTATACGAAGGTGTGGACCTGCACAGACAATTTTCTGTCATAGGCGAACATAACGAACTTTAAATATTAAATTTAAAACATTTCCGATGAATAATGCCACTTAAATCGTCAAAATACCGAATGTCGGGAGGTATCCTTATGTGAGGTTTATACGAAGACGTGGACCTGCATGTCCCATCTTCAATACCAAAAATCCTGCCGACATAATACACATTTGTGTACAATTTTATCAACCTACTTCATTTCGTTCGGAAGCTAGAGTGGTTTCCACAGACGGACGGACGTAGCGATCCGTCCGTCGACATAGAATTTTATGCTGATCAAGAATATATATACTTTGTGGGGTCTAAAATGTATATTTCGAGGTGTTACAGACGAGGAATGACAAACTTAATATACCCTCCATACTATGGTGAAGGATATAAAAGTGGAGATTTTTAGGTATTATTGGCAAAAAATTGTGGTTTTTGTTTCAAAAAAAATATTTCTGTAGTCATTTTACAGTTTGAAAATCATTATTGCCATACAACCCTCAAACAAATTTGTTTTGAAGCGACCAAACTCACGCAACGTAACAACAGATAAACTTCGTTTGGATAAAAATAAACAAAGCGACATGTATGATGGCCTGCTACAGCGAACATGTTGTACCGGTATGTTGGTGTCGAACTTCGTTTTGTTATTGTTTTATACTCTTCGAGCAAGCGAGTGGCAGAATTGCCATCGTTGTGTTCTCAAACATCAGTCAGTTGAGAGCAACATTTTGAACCGTTCGCATTGTGTTGACGGAAAGCGGAAGTTACGAAGAAGACGACGACGAAGAACACGAACACGACGATATAATGACGGTCAACAGTTCAAGTTTGATGAACTAGGAAAACGTAACAAAAATCGAATGAAAAAAATTAAATAAATAAATATAAACAAATAATAAAATGTATTTTCTTTTTGTTAAAAAAAATATTGCTGCGAAGTGAAAGAGAGAAAATAAATTAAAAAAAAAATAATTATTGGAAAAATGTGCGAAAAATGTTTTTAGTTGAAAATTAATAATTTTGTGTGTGTGCTCGCTTTTTTTGTTTGAGATAAGATATTGAGGCTAAGTGAGATAACATATAGAATCGTAAAGCATGCCAAAGTTTTGGCTAAAAAAGAATTCAAATAAAATAAAATAAAATAAAATTGTTTTTGCCAAAAGCCACGTGAATTTGCTTTTGAAAAGAAAAAATAAAAAACCTATGAAAAGAAATAATTGAAAATTTTTGTGAATGTGTGTGTGTGTATGAAGAAAATTTAAATAATCAGGTGTTGAAAGTTAAGCAAAAAATAAGAGAGTAACAAAATTACCTACCTTTGACCCATTGGGCTGCGTGACAAGTGCATTATTTTCTATTGGATACCAACTACCTGGACCAAACCTTGAGGCCTGCCTGCCTGCCTACCTGTTGCCAAAGGTGTAAAAGTGTTTATTTTTTTCAATGGGTGCGCTGGATGGATGTGCATCGGAGTATCTTTTCCATGAAGGTTAATTGTTAACATCTGGTTACACCCAACTAACCAGCCAAGCGTGTGCATCGCGCATCGTGTCTTTTGCGGCTTAAAACCTACATCTACATCTTTCCCATAAGAGTTATTCCAAGTAAATGCAAAATACCACGAAAAAGGCTTAGAGAACAAGTCTCCCCACCTCACCCGCAGATCGTCAGGTGATTTTCTATTTAACGTGAGCCAGCCAGCCAGTCGGCCAGCCAGCGTGTATGTCAATGCCAAAGCAAATACATCGAGTGGAACGAACAAGGTATTCTCATACCGGACTCGCTCTCTCTCCGCCAAACTTCAAACTACTTTGGATACTTTGTTTCACAGAGGAGATACCCCGAAACTTACTCTGAGAAGAGATATTAGACAACTAAATCTCAAGAGGCCGACTCTCTCTCTATCTCTCCCTAAGTCGTTGGAATAACTGATAACTGGGAGTCAAAGCTTTATACGGTTTAAAGAATATAAAACCGTATGTGAGAGTAACGAGATACAAAACAACAGCAACAACAAAAATAATAACAAACATATAGTGGAGTAAAAAAACTATCTGAAAACAAAATAACAAAAACAACGTGACCAGTGACCGGTTTTTTTGCAATTAATTTAAAAATTGTTTACATACACCACAAACGTGGTCGAAAAGGGGCAAAGATTGAACACAGACCGGTGGATAAAAGTGTGTAAGGTCCAAGAGCAAGAAAGAAAGGCTTTTTTGCACATGGCCTATTAAGAAACAAAAACAAAAAAAAAAAAAAAAACACACCTCACAGCAAGGAGGAATTCCAACCAGAACAAAAAAATTAAATAAAAAAAACCAACGAAGATACTTTTTGGCGCCCAACATCATAATCATCTTCATTGTTAACATCTTCTTCTCTCCCTAAACACAAAAAACGGAAAGAAAGCAGCAAAAAATCGCAAAACAACAACAAAAATATGAAGAATTTTCAAATCTAAAGAAAAAAAGCCCACCATTCATATTTGAAAGAAGAAGGAGAAAAAATACCAAACACTCGTCGTAGCAAAAAAAGTTGTTTTTTTTTTAACATAACCTCAAAAGTTCGCCGGTCAATCATGACACTGGAATTAAGGATTTTATCAACGGCGCTACTTGTTTTAGTAGCCGGTGTCTTAATGACCCACTCGTTCAACTTGGAAAGTCGCCTGCCCATTGTTAAATTCAATGCAAATCCAACATCGTATTTTGGCTATTCAATAGCCACGCACACCGTGGGAGAATACAATTGGCCAAATAACACTAAATGGTAAGTACGGAGAATGGAGATTTAAGATAAATACTTACAAAAATTTGGGGGTAAAAATAAGGAGGAAATGCTTAGAAGGATGGTAGAAAACAAGGAATATAAACGTGGCGCCCAACGTGAGAATATGAGTTGGGACTTGCAAAAAGCATAAATTCAAGAATTTAAGAAAATTTTCGAACATATTTTAGAAGTGAAGATGAAAAATATGCAATAAAGGAAAACGGACACAAAAGTGGCGCCCAAGGTGGGGATTTAAGTTGGGAGCTGCATGATTGAAAATTCAGAGATTTAGGAAATATTACAAACATAATTAAGTATTGAAAATGGAAAATGTGTAATAAAGGAAAGCGGACACAAAAGTGGCGCCCAATGTGGGAGTTTATGTTAGGAACTCCGAAACAAAACAAAAATACATGAATTCTTACCAATTTAAAAAAAAACATAATCTGAGGTTGGGGAATGTCTACCAAAGGAGAACGGACACAAAAGTGGTGCCCAACGCGGAGTTTGAGTTGGGAGCTGCATGATTGAAAATTCAAGAATTTAGGTAATATTACGAACATAATTTGGTAGTGAAGATGAAAAAATACGTAATAAAGGAAAACGGACACAAAAGTGGCGCCCAACGTGAGAATTTAAGTTGGGAGTTGTAAAAGCAAAATTTCAAGAATTTAGGGAATATTACAAACATAATCTAGCAGTGAAGATGAAAAATACGTAATAAAGGAAGCCAGACTCAAAAGTGGCGCCCAATGTGAGATTTTATGTTAGAAACTCCGAAAGAAACCAAAAATTCAAGAATTCTTACCAATTAAAAAAAACATAATCTGAGATTGAGGTATGTGTACCAAAGGAGAACTGACACAAAAGTGGCGCCCAAAGCGGGGATTTGAGTTAGGAATCTTCCAATATTTGAAAAAAAACTCGTATAGATGATTCAAAATTACTCTAAGGGTGGGGAATGTGAACTAAATAAAAACGGACGCAAAATTGGCGACTAACGTGGGGAGCTCCAGAAAATATGAAGGAATCTTCAAACATTTGAAAGAAAAAATAACTCGTGTAGGAGATTGAAAACGACTCTAATTGAAAGAAACACAAATATGAGATAAATAGCAGTGGCGCCCAAATGCGGTTATTTTAGTTGAGAGATGCCACACTGAAAATTCAAAGATTTTGGAAATTTTCAAAAAATAATCTACGAACGTATGATGGAAAATAACATTTAAACAAAATCATAAATGCGGCGCCCAATTTGGGAATTTGAATTGGGAGCTGCAGAAACAAAAATAAAAGAGTCAAGAAAAAATTAGAATTATCTGGTGTAGAATTGATGAGAATAGCATAAATGTGGCGCCCAACATGGGTCTTTGAGTTGGAAGCAATAAGACCTTGAACTAAGGAATGTAGATAGAATATAGATTTAGATCGGAATTTGGGGGAAGTACCAGAAGGAGAGGAACGATGGCAGATCTTCACACCAGATATTGTGTTAGTAAAAAGACTGGGATATTTGAGGAGAATCGGATGCTTATTTCACATTTTATAAGACTTATAATTATTCATGATAGAGTGGCCCTACCCCTAGATCGTCTCCACATGTCCTGAAACGGATTTGGCCCAAAGAGTACCAGGCTCTAAAGTCGTTATTTCGGTGAGGCACGCTTTGGCCGTATCAAATGATATATACCCTCTGTAGCCATATGGCTGAGGGTACAAAAATCGCGGGCAAATAGAAAATATAATATATAATAACTAGAGGTCTCGAAACAAACTAAAACTATAGTTAAATAAGAAAAGTATTGCAGAAAAAACATCAGAGTAAATGTTGGCGCCCAACGTGGGGTATTAGAAAATAAACTATCACACCTGACAATGAGTGATTAGAAACGAAATGCTTTGTAGAAAATATGGAATAACTAGTAAACCCTTTCAATATTCTATATTTGATGCAGTATCCTTCATCAAATCTTTTCCCAAAGATGGGAACACACAGAATATCCTATGAGCTAAACCCGTCTAAACGTTTAGTAAAAAAACAATGTAAATGAATTTATATTACTTCCCACAAAATATTCCTTCACAAGTTTAGAATTGTTCAGATGTTCATGGGAACCGAGATAATTCGCCGTGGTTCAATTTAGTTTAGTTCAATTCATAAATCTGCAGTTTTTCTGGTATCTTGGGTCCCTACAGGTAAACTATTTTATGTGACACATAAGTTGTATTTCGGTTCTTGTATTGTTTAATTGATATATTCCAAATTATGGCGCCCAACATGAGCATATATTTGTTTAATTTCGACAATAAGAGAAAATTCTCAGTTTTTTGTCCATTCCTCTCCAATTAATTCGTATATATGTTTTAAACTGGGCCTCAAATCAATCAAAAGATAAACCATATAACCAACCCCGCAAAAGCCCCTGGTAATAGATCCTGATTCTATAAAAATATGAAACGAAAAAGATGTTTTCTTTACAAAATTTTTTCATTTGATATTTTACTCCCTAGAAAAATTGATCCTCTAATTGGAGTCCATTTTATAAACACAGGCTTATCCGATTTTAGAGCCCTTAAAACTTCTTCTACTCAAAAAAAAAATATAATTTAACATTTATGATTTTTTTCCCAAAATAAGTGTTATTTTCACGCATTCCCCTATTCGGCAAGACTTCTGTACATTTCAGAATATAGACATACCCATGTACATATATTTATACAACAAATTATTTCATATCAATATTTACTTTCAATACACTATACTGTGTTCAATCATATCTCATGTTCGCTGGCTCTCTCATAGCCCTAAAGTAAAGTTCAATATACAAGCGTATTGAGGCATTTCTTGATATCAGCTGGCTAGACTTTCAAAAGCAAGTCAATCGATACAATACGTTCGTTCAGAAAGCTAATACACGGCACCAATGGACGGACCGTCGGAGAAATGTAAATAAAAAAAATTGTATGAAAAAATGACAGCAACAAAACAAGTATTTACATAATGATAGCGAAAAAAATAGTTCTGAAACTAATTTTTTCTTTCAGCAGAACAGAACCTGAGCACGGAGGGCCCAGGAGCGGTGTCACCTAACCATCAATAATAATAATAACAACAACAAAAAACAACAACATTGTTGATATGATACTCGTCTCCTACCACAACAATTCATATCTGTTTACCTTTATTTGTGGAATACTCGAATATCGTTGGCTACCTGAATGGAGGGGGGAATCGCATTCTGCTACATTTTCTTTTTTTCTTCCAAATTCCAAGTACAATTTTCTGTTATTAGTTTTGTATTTGCTACACTGAGAGCTGAGATATGCTATAATTTAATTAATCAATTTGTCTTTTTTGTTGCCAAACAATTAGCCGCGTTGTGTGTTTGGTTTTGGTGTTGAACAAAAATTTAATTTGTTCTTTAAAGTTTTGTAACTTAATTTTGTTGATATTCGTTTCGCTGTGGGGCAAGGAAAATGACATCATTACTTCTTTTTTATAAAAACGATAATTCTCTTCCTATGCCATAATTTGGCGGAAATAAGGCTGTTATCAAACAGACATGCTTTATAGGATAACATATGTGAAGAATTATGGCCCAAACTGATTAGACCATAAAACCTTTTTTTTTGATGGAGACATGAAAGATACGGCCTTATGTTGGGCATTGCTGAAATTTCTATTTAACAAATTAAAACATATCAGTGGGTTTTGTCAACAGATATACAGGGTGAGATAAAAAAAACTATAAAAAATCAAACGACATAATTTTTACATTTTTTATAACCTACAACACTATGTGTTGTTGGGCCAAAAATTATGTAACACCTCGAAATATTGGTTTTCGACATAGGAAAGTATATATGGATCTTCCTATATCGCCGAGCTGAGTCGATCTAGCTATGTATGTCCGTCTGTCCATGTAAAATTGCAATCACTCTACAGGTCGCAATTATGGCCCGATCTTCACGAAATTTAGAATGTAGGTGGGGCTAGGGCCAGAATAGAACCCTATTACTTTTGGAGATGATCGCATAAGACAGATAAACAGAAAAAAATTCCTGATCACACAATTGAAGCCAATCGACACGCCTGAGAAGAGAGTTAAGGACAGGGAAGAAATCTAGCATTTTGGATGACCATTGGATTATATTTAGCTGTAAACTGGACCGCAACAACTAACAGCACGACGGAGTGCGTAACTATTGGGCAAATGTCCCTTGTCAAAATGCTGGGCGGTGTTCCGTGACATAACTTCAAAAGCGAAATCTTCCAAAATGGATTTGGACATAACATAATATCATATTGTAGTGTTGTAGGGTATCACATGGTCTGCTCCGCACGACTATAGCCTTTGCTTACTTGTTTTTTAAATTAAAGCAAAAAATATCGGAAATAGCATCAAATTTTGGAATAAGTTTAGATTTGTTTATATTTATCACCTTTAACACGAATAATGGCCTTCAAACTGCCAATGAAATCGTCACATGCTGCCCGAATGTTGCTCTCGGGTATTTTGCCCCTTTCTGGCGAAGCGCTTGCTTAAGGTGATCGACACTTTGGTATGTTTTAGTGCCAACCTTGCATTTCAAAATAATCCAGCCACAATAGTTCAACGGATTGGTATACGGAGATTTTGGTGGCCATTGTGCGCTGGAAATGAAGCGAGCAACCTCATTTTGTAACAATTCTTGGTTGGCGCGTGCTGAGTGCGATGGTGCTGAGTCCTGATGGAATGTGCAAGGTCTGCAGCCAAAATGTTTGCGTGCCCAAGGCTTTAATACACCCTCCAGAATATATTCTGATTAATACGAGCGGAGAGCGACCATCGGCTGTTATGGCGGCCCACACCATCACCATGGCCGGCGCTTGAGTTCTGGTGGTCAACCGAAGATTCATATTTTCAGCTGACCTCTTTGGCAAGAAAACACGATCATTTTGTTTGTTTGTGATCGGAGAAAACCAAATTCGGCAGTTCACGACTTACGGCCAAGCAAAG